AGCACATACAATCATTTGTAAAGCCAGATAATTTTAATAAGAATAATTGTTTGAAAGCATTCAAAGCAGTAATAATTTTTCTGATGTTTTTTTAAAGCTTCTATATAATCCAGATTCCATCAGGCATTCATGTCGAAGACAATGGTTTTTCCATGTCATGATCAGAAGCATTTCCCTTAGCTGTTGGAAAAATAGTTGGAAATAATTTAAAATATATTGATATGATGAAATCATTCTTTTTTTTAATGCAGATATACCTACAAAATATCATACAGTGCAACCTTTTTACATTGTTTCTTTGAATGGATCTAAAAACTCCTAATCCATCAGGGTTGGTTTATGAAGTCACCTTATTCCTTTTTCGGCAGCTTCAGGTTCACTTGTTAAATATTAGGGCACATTGTCCCTCCATTCCACTCATAGTTTTATATGGGCAGTAAAGAGGCAATAAATCCATGCGTCTCCATAGACCATTTTGCTTCCAGTGTTAATGTAATGGAAATTCATATTCTCATCATTTTTCTTCTTTCTCCAAATGCTTCCTTCTCTTATAATATTATAATTCCTATTAAATCATGGCAGTAATATCTGAAAATATTTCACATTTCCTTTCCATTCATCAATGGTTCAAGTACACTCAAACCATTGTCACAGTGCTTCCTTTCAGAGGCAATTTCTCATGGGGTGAAAAATTGGTGTATGTTGTATGTCTGTATGTATTTGTATGTCTCTCTCTATGTGCATGTTTTTTTGGTTCTCAGTGAGATTCATCTCGAGAGTCAGACTTGATGATGGGGAATGGAGAGATATTCAGTCCCAAGTCTAAAAATCCTGGGAATATTGTCACCCTGTTAAGAGTTGCCCAAAACCACACTTGTGACCTCCCAGCAAAAGAGACATCTACTCTTTTCAGTGAAGTTATCTAAATTGAAGAGGCCTTTGCAACTTCAATGGTTGATGCAATAGGATTTAAATTTGCATGGAAGGCAATGATCATCTGGTGGACACACAAAGGCTTGCTTAGTGTAGTTCGATAGATGCTTCTGTTACATGGATTTTCAGAGGCTAACCCAAGAAAGTTGAGCTTATTTTAGCCACTTGCTTGGTGAATTTGACACTGATGAGGTATATGCTTGTGAAGAAAATGTTCATGGACATAACATGGAAAAAATGTCTGATCCTAATTATGAGACAAAATAAAATGCTATGAATATTTCAGTGTCTGCATCTTACGCTTTGCAGCAAGGCTGGTTGACATGACAAAGTCCTATCTTCTTTTCAGAGGCAGCACAGGACGACTTTCTGCAAGCTCCTTTATTTTTAATGCATGTTCTTGAATCCATTATCCTCTCTGCTTTCCCTGGAGAAGAAAGAGAAAGAGAAAGAGAAGCTAATCATACCCTTTGCAAAATTTGTAGATTTGAATTCCTAGGAAAAATGTAGTTACTAAAATGTATTGCTTTAGGAAGAACACTTATAGAAAAGAGCTCCTTAGTAAAAAATAAAAAAATAGAACATATATTTTTTTCCAGACAATATTTTAATTAGAATCTTAGATTCTTTACATGAAGTTTAAGAAGTTTGGCTATTTATTTACTTTCCAGTTTAAAACATTTGAGTATTGTTTCCCAGTCTTCAAAAAGTATAGAGAAAACTTCCAAGTATATAGTAGATTAAAGCAGTTTATAAAACCAATCCTAGAGTATTAAATAAAGCATGCAAAATAAAGTATCTGATTTCTTGTTTAGTTTGGTATGTCTATTTGGATTAAATAAATGTTTATTTCTGAAGTGCCTGGTATTTCAACATGAATGATAGTATAAAAGTTTCATCAGAATTGACTTACCCAGATCAGAAAGAATCACAAAGGCGAGGAAAAAGAGGACACACCAAGCCTTCATGGTTATGGCAAGTTCAAGGCAGCTGCTTAACTCTTCTCTAGTCCAGTTGCCAAAAGAAACCTAGAAGGTATGTTGCATTCCATCTTTTAAATACATCATGGGATGTAGATTTCATTACAAATACCAATGACAGCAAGACAGAAGAAACAATTGGATTGGTTGTTTCTTTCTTTGTATCTTTATGTTAATTGGAAGAAGTGGCATTTTCCTTAAATGGCCAGCCTCCATGACTGGAGATGCTTATTGGCTTATTTCTGCTGATAAAAAAAAGAGTAGTTTAATAGCCAAGTAATTCTTTTACCCAATAATATCCATAAACCAGCTGTTAGTTATCCTGGATAAAGTTTGTCTGATTACCTTTCTGACCAGGATACCTATCATGACCAGGATATTTCCAAATTGGATTATAGTATCCATTATAAGGGTGTTTTTTCACTGAAGAGTATTTCCATTCTTTAGTTTATTAATAAGATCTCTGGAAAACTGAATATTGAAACTGACTGCAGTATGAAGAGGAAAGAAATCAACACTTTTATCACATTGGCTTCTTTTTCATTGATGTGCATAAAATACTGATGCTTTGTTTCAAAGTCTTAAACAATTATTTTTTTTAAATACAGTCAGAATTGCTCACAATTGTGTTTATAAATTACTCTAACTGTTCTCTTGTATGTGGTATCCTAGGCAAAAGGAGAGAACATTAATTTAACCAGCTCTCATCTGTTACTTTTTGGTTATAAAACCATCATGAATTCCTTCCCTCTTTTCTATAAGGAACATGGCTTCATTAATTCTTTTTCATTATGGGAGGTGAAAGATAGTAGGATGGTTTGTGTTGTTCCAAAGATGTCTCTTTCCTTAGCATCGTACAGCACCTCATTCCTGTCCATATCTCTGTAGCTTTTATTAAACATGACTCCTTCTCCTCCATGCCACTTCAACATCAAGAACCACATATAAAAATGGTTTTGTTACTATTCTATTCACTGTTATATATTTGGAAAACATAAGAGAAAACAACTATATTATATAAAAGCATGGGAGGGTGGTGTGCAATTTAGTTTATTTACATTTTGCATGGATAGACTGATAGAATGATATCTGATGCTCCAGGACTTCCATTCAAGGACATCCATTGAATGGGGGAGAAGAAGCGGTGGGAATCTGATGAAACATGCATTACTCATCTGCAATGCAAACTTAGACAAGTAAGGAAGCTTCTGACATGATATAGATCTTGTTGATTTGCTGAAAACTTGTACCTACCTGTAGTATCTTAATATGGGACATTGTAAGGATGTGTTTTGTCCTCTCCTGCTGTGAGAATATACTAACTGGGTCCCAGTCTTCCCTGCTTATACTCTGTATTTAAGTCTAGTAGAGAACTGAAGATGATTACAAGTCACCCTGAGGAAAAACTGAGGAACTGGAGTAGACACACTGTGGCATTCAAACATCTCCCAAGTATATTGTCTATATTGGTTTCATACTTTCAGGTATAAAATGGGAACATGATCAAGAAAGAGTTTTTCTGTGTTATAACTATTTATTAGAACCACTTATTACTTATCATAAGAGACAAACTCAGTATTATGGGCTTCTGAATATCCATGGCTAGGAAGATAGAGAAGAATTGTCTCAGTTTTGTTTCTGAAAACCTTTTGGCTCCTTTTGGGAAAGGGCTATTGGATTCAGTCATGGAATCAATTATTCACCAATCCATTATCCTCCATTTAGAGACAAAAAAACCTACCCTCTAATAAACAATTTGGTTTCAGGAAAAAAAATATCCTACAATCTGCAACTCTTACACTGCAAAAACATATGGACTACACAACTCGAACAGGGCAAAGCAATAGATACAATCTACATAGACTTCTGTAAAGCCTTTGATTCAGTGGTACACAACAAAGTACTCCTAAAACTAAAATCTTACAGTATCTCTGGACACCTGCATAACTGGAGAGAAGCATTCCTGTCAAACAGACAACAAATGGTCAAAATTGGGAGCATCCTATCAAATTCTGTACCTGTCAACAGTGGTGTCCCCCAAGGCAGTGTTCTAGGACCAACTCTTTTCATACTCTACATAAATGACCTCTGTGTTCATATCAAGAGCAACTGCGTTCTCTTCGTTGATGATGTAAAGCTATTCAACACCATGGACAATACTGCTACCCTCCAAAACGACCTCGACTATGTATCAGAATGGTCAAACAAATGGCAACTTCAAATCTCAACAAATAAATGCTCTGTCCTACATATTGGCAAAAAAAAATCAGAAAATAAAATACAGGCTGAATAGTCAGGACTTTGTTGATGAT